AGCCGGGGGGGGGGGGGGGGGAGAGAGCAGCTGCCTCAACATGCCAGCAGCACCCAGCACCAAAGAGGGAACAGAACAAGAGGAGGGTTAAAAGGATTATGGTAAAAAGAGGGGAAGAGGAGAAAGAAAGACAGGGCGGGGGCCTCTGCCCCTCCAACTTTGTGCCTTGATAGCCTCGCCTGGGCACAGACTGGAGCGGGGGGGGGAGCGCCGACACTGCAGAGGCGCAAGCCGAAAAGTTGTTGGAGCAAGTTCCTGGCAGCGCGCAGCTCCATCCTCTGGCCGCCCAGCCCGTCCATGAGCGAGGGAAGGGGGGAGAGGAAGGGAAGAGGTTTTAAGTCTATCTTGAGAGCTTGGAGGATCCCAGTGAGTCCCTGGTAGAGGGCAGGGTTTCACTTAACTAGGGCTTATTTTCAGGGTAGGGCTTATATTAAAATCATATAGAAAAATCATACTAGGGCTTATTTTCAGGGAAACACGATATACACATACTAAAAAAGATCAAACAAATGCCATACTGAAAACACACTCAAAGCAGTAAGACACAACAATCCATTTTTTAGGAAATCCCACTTAGGCAGGCAGTCACTGAGGGAAAGTTTTCCTGAAGAGAAAGGGCTTCACCTGCTTTGTGGAAAGAGAGCAAAGATGGGACCAGCCTGGCCTCCTGTGGGAGTGAGTTCCAAAGTCTGGGAGCAACAAAAGAGAAAGCCTCCTCTTGTGTCCCCACCAAACAGGCATGTGAAGGTGGTGGGACCAAGAGAAAGGCCTCTTAAGATAATCAAACACCCAAGCAGGCTCATAATAGGAGAGAAATGGTCCTTGAGGTAGCTTGGACCCAAGCTGTTTAAGGCTTTATAGGTTAGAACCAGCACTTTGAATTATGTGTGAAAATGGATTGGCAGCCAGTAGAATGCTGTAATGAGTGTTTTGTACTGCAGTCCAGTGGTTTATAGTATTCAGATGCTTTTTAAATGTATTTTAGTTGCTTTTTTAAAAATGGGAGAGAGTAAAGGACTGATTTTTGAGAACTGTACCTATAAAGTAATACTTTTTGGACATTGGAAATGTAACAGCAATAAATTTGTAAGAACAAATTGGCTTTCCGGCACCAGGCAAAGACCTTTCTGTTTAGAGCATTTTAATTAAGTAGTCTCCTTTAGCTGGCCATATGAGCAGCAGGATTTATTAATATTAATGTTTTAATGATTGTTTTTAATATAGGGTAGTATTATAAAATTGCCTATTTTTAATGGTTTTTAATGTTTTAATATTGTTGTACGCCAATTGCCTATTTTAATGGTTTTTTTAATGTTTTAATATTGTTGTACTCCGCTGAGAGACCATTGGTAATAGTGCAGCAAAAAAAATCTTGTAAATAAATAAACAAGGAAGAGCAATCTTTTTTCATTATTTTCTTAATGGGAAGGGTGTATTGCCAGTGACACCTACCGTGATGTAAGGTGAAATCTAGGGTGGGTAGGACTTGTAGGCTGCCTTCTCGTTGTACAACCTGAAACGTGTATTGAGCTTTTCTTTGGGATCCTATATTGCAAAGAGTTTTACTCAATGGGAGCAATCGTCTTTTGTGCTAGTTCTACCCGATTCAGAGCTCAGTAGTGTTAAGAGAACCCTCTTCTTATGGCCTTCACACAACTAGATTTCTCTTCTTCACCCAATTCCCAGATGACCGTTCTTTCTGCCAGCCCTGGAAAAGTTATCTGTGAACTGAAAGTCGAAGAGGAGCACACAAACAGGGGAGGCACTCTGCATGGAGGCCTGACGGCTACTCTGGTTGATGTCGTCTCAACAGCTGCTTTACTGTACACCGAAAGAGGAGCCCCAGGAGTCAGTGTTGATATGAATATTAGGTACATATCAAAAGCAAGAAGATTATTTCAGTGTTGGTTTATGTTAAGCAGGGCTCGGGTTGCTCAAAAAGCATGGCAGTTCTAACCTGGCTTAATTAATGAAGTTTTGTTTAAAATCTGCTAACAGCTGCTATTATTTTTTTAAAAAACACAAGCACACTTTTAAAACATTTAAGGCCTGAAACATTATCTTTGTGTCCAGCATGTTCTTTGAGCCCCAAAACCAGGAAGGTATGTGTTTGGTTGCTTCAGTAGTTCCATTTTACTTTGGGGCATTGGGGATTTAGGTTATTAAAATATATTTCAACCCTTATTTTTGCTTCATCTTCACAACATTTGAAGCAAGTTACTGTTGTTTCTGTTCACATGTAGAAGCTGAAAACTAGAGCTTTTGTCTAATACCAAAGGAGTAGGTTGCTGTTCCTTTTCACTGTCTTTTTATTTTTAACCAAGATTGATGATCTTTCTTCAGACTCCTAGATTGCAATCTTTCCTGTCTCTCTCTGGCAACATGGAGATTGAAACCAGAACATCTTGAATGCAAAATCCCTGTTGAACTGCAGCCTTTCCCCAAAGCTACTGATCTTTCTCAAGGCCAGCTCAGAAGACCAGCTCAGCTGGAATTGAATTTCAGTTTTTTCAGACCCCTTGCCTATGTCTGTTAGGAAGCCTCAGCTACATTCAGCAGGCAGTCCTCAAAATACAGCATACATGGAACCTAACCTTTTTCAAATGTAGATTGTGATGGGCACTTTCTGAGAGTCTGGGGCGCCTTTAGAACTCAGGAAAAAATAGACAGAAAAAATAGTCAACAAGTGTCCAGATGTCTTGTGGACATGACATACACCAACAGAGCCCATTCAGCCTTTAAACTACCAACTCGGCTTTTTAACATTTAAATGCTATGCTTTAATTTTACATAAATTGTTTTTATGTTGCATTTTTAGTTAATTGACAAATATGTTTATTTGATTTTTATATTGCGGCTATGTTTTGTGGCTATTATTTATTCTTTTTATTCTGAACTATTTTATTTTGAACTATCCAGAGTGGCCTTAGCAGCCAGATAGGCAGTATATAAATTGAATGAATAAATGAATTATAAAGCTATGTCGTTCTGACTCTGCTCCCTACCAGCCTGTTTTAGGCTGAAAGCAACTTTTTTCCCCTTAAAGATAAGGACAGGTGTCTTTTTAAAAAAAAACTATTTGGACTAAAAGCAGACTTAAAGCAGACTGAAATAAGCCTTTAAATGGCAAATTCCACTCGCCAAAGGCTTCTAGAGACACTATTTATAATTTCTTTAGGGATTTTTTTTTTTCTGTCAGGATTCCACAGAGGCCTGTGAGCTCTACTTTCCCTGGCCCGGCCTACATGATCCCATCCTCCTTAAAACAACCCTGTGAAGTAGACTAAGTGGAACGTGACTGCTTCATGGTCATCCAGAGTACTAAATGGCCAAGTGGGTAAGGGGCTTTGAGCCCCAGTTTTTCCAACTTTTTATCCCAGGGTGAGCTCTCCGGATGATGTTGTACTACAGCTCCTGCGATCCTTTACCATTGGCCATCCTTCTCTAGGAAAACTCAAAGTTAGTGCCCACATATTCTCCATTGTGGTTTAACAGCTATTGTATACCAGTTCTTATTTTGTAGCTGTGCAACATGTACAATCTTAGCCACAAAATTCACTGCATGGCTGTATGACTGTCTCTTTCTGTGTCTCTGGATTTCTCTGAGGATAAACTGAGGAAAGAGAAATTTCTGTGTTGCTTTGACCTTCTTGGAAGAAATATAGATTGTAAATTTATGACATACCTATTTTTCCCTTGCTGTCACATCCAGCTACGTGTCGGCAGCTAAGATTGGAGAAGAAATCCTGATCACTGCTGAGATTCTGAAGCAAGGCAGAAGTCTGGCCTTTGCAAGCGTGGACGTAACAAATAAGGCAACCGGAAAATTGATAGCGCAGGGGAGGCACACCAAACACCTGGGACACTGATCAGAGGAAATAAACAATGCACTTTTTTAAAAAAAAAAATCCAGCTTAAAAGAAAACCAGGATGGAGTAAGTTCACAAATAGTAATGGGGCTGAGATATAATTTTCAGAATCTTGTTCTGTGTTCACCCAAATTAAGGTGATGGCCCAAGTTCAGATCAAGTACTCCGCATGTATTCCTGAGTTTCTTTTCACATAAAGAATATAAATTTATCTTCACAAGAAATGTGTACGATGTAGTCAAACTTAGTTTAGCCTCCCGGCCCTCAAGAAGAGACAAAGATGTTAATTCCTTGGACTTGGCAAAATTCCCTTGGAGTACTATACTGTGTGATGCTGATTTGGGCCTGATCCACTGTTCCCATCAGCAGAACTCAACTCATGCTATACCTCTCCGGGAGGAAGGATCAGGGGAGCAGTGTTTGTCAAATCCTCTTTCTCTTGACATCCTCTTGTACTTCATGAAAGTTGGGGCAGGGGGGAAGCTTCAGAATGGCATTGGAAATGCTACTTTTGCCACCCCATTGTAAATTTTCTGTGGTGAGAGCCTTCAACTGGATCACTGTTCTTTTCCACAAATGAAAAGACTCTTGTTATTTGTGGAAGGATAATTGTAAATCATTCTGGACTGAGACATTTGTATGTGTTCCAGATAACTTCCATATTTTCAGCAAAAGTACTTAGAGCCATAGCAATGGCTTTCTGTATAGGTCTGTCAGTAATTTGAATTCAGTTTAATGCATGCCAGGCTAATTAAATACCAAATAATGCTTTCATTTATTATCTTGTAAGTTATTTATAGTGTTCATTAGTTTTGAACAGTGGGAAAGTAATGTATTTTTAAGGAGCACTGGTTCAGAATAATGAATGTAACATTTGACTTGTGTCAAGAGAGAGTTCACTTTTTTCAATAAAAGTTGGTTTTGTAAAGCTTCAATTTTTCTGCACATTTTTTCTTTAGGTTTGCTTAGCCTATTGAAGATAATAGTAACTGTGTGCTGTCAAGTCAATTTTTGACTTATGGAAACCCTTTTCAGGGTTTTCTGAACACTCATCAAATATCCTACTTTAGCTCTTGCTCCAGTTTTTCTTCTTCTTTACAATTAAAAAAGCAGAGTTTCCACAACTTAAGATTGCTTTGTAGTTCTAAAACCCTTGTCAAAGAATGTTGCTGAATATGTTTTGTGTGGTTGAAGCTATATATTTGGGATCTCTGAGCCTGTTATGATGCCCAGTGTGGTGTAGTGGATAGAGTGATAGACGAGGACTCAGAAGGCCTGGGTTTTAAGCTCCACTCAGCTACGGAAACTCACTGAGGTCTGGAACTGGTAAAACCACTTCTCAAATATCACACTTAATGCTGAAAGCTTTACTATATATATTCAGTTCCATAGTTTAAATGTTTTTGTGGAATAATGTTGAAAGCTTTACTATATATATTAAGTTCCATAGTTTAAATGTTTTTGTGGAATTGTTCTGATTTTTAAACCAGTTTGGGGCTTTTGGGGATGAGTACACAAATAACAAGAAGGGGTGTATTGTTAAGGACCATGTTCAGAATAAAGCATCATAGAGCAATTCTTTTGGGAGTTAACTCACTGATGAAAATCTTGAAAAAGCGGTAAGTTAGCATATTTTTGGATCTAAAAATATTTGCTGTGTTATAAAGCTGAGACACCAGTAGAGCTATTTCAAATGGAAGAGATCAACTCTTATGAAAATATTGCCAGAAATATGCCAGTAAATACAGTGAACAAAACAATGGCTCACAGACTGGAAATGATTGATTCCCCAAGAAAGGAGACATCAGAGATTACAGTAACTACAGGATCCATGCATCAGTATTGCATGCAAGCAAACTGATGCTCAAGATTTTATAACCAAGACCACAAGACAATACTTTTAATTTGTTTGCAGTTGTTGTACCTGGTATATAAACTACTTTTTATCCCAACTTCAATATGAGGTTTTGGAAACTTTGTTTTTTTCTGCACTCTGTAATGCCCAGGCTGACAAAGATTTATGCAGAGTTAAAATCTAGCCTCTGTAGGTGAGATTTTAGTAATGCCAGAGATTAATTTTAGATGGTACACAATGCAAACAGCAGAAGAGGTAGAGTTATCCAGTAGCTGGAGGTCATGTATGATGGAACAAGTCCTATCATTAGGTATTAGAAGAGTCAAGGATCCCTCTTCTGTAGGGATAAGGAAGATTTTCTGGCCTGTGGGCTGTGTTGTCTCCATGGAAACCTGTTGGCACCTGCACAGCGGAAGTGGATTGAGCAAGAGTCCAAAACAGGCAGAGACCCTTGTTCTTGGGGGGGGGGGAGGCAGGGGTGAAGATCCAAGCAGTTTTTCTGGATGGCTACATTCAATATTTCCCAAAGCAGATAAAATTGCAGGGGTTTAAGGCAGTGGTCAGGGAACGGGCAAATTACCCCAAATGGGGTAAAAATGAAAATCCTGGGGGTAATGAGGATGGTCGCGGCAGGCATTTTACCCCCAGGCATTTTATTTCCAACGATGCTGTGTGTAGGCAGGTGTTCTGTTGCAGGGAAAGCGAGCCCTGGCGTGGAACTGCACAGGGCACCCACCTGCCCTCCTCGCCTCCAAAGTGGTGGGGGGGAGGGTGGCATACCAGGCCAGCTGGTCTCTTTGCCTGGCGGAGCCCTGGCCGGGGCTGTCCTTCCTGCTCGCACCTACCCGCCTGGTGCACTGGCGAGGAGGCCCCCTTCTTGCCCTGCCTCACTTGAGCTCATGGCCAATGGACCTGCTGGCCCTGCAGCGCCCGCCTCCCCTCGCCAAGGACGCGCTTTCTCAGCGGTTTGGCAGCTCCAGACTGCCTGCTCAGGCGGTGGCCACAGGTCCCGGGTGAGCGCAGAGGCGGGGTCTGCCACGGACGGGTCTGCCATGGACAGCAAGAGCCAAGGGAGGGGGGGTAATGTCAACGTATATAAAATTTGGGGGGGGGGGGAAAAGGAAAAAAACTTCCCTGACCCCTGGTTTAAGATGTAGAGGAAAATAGAAGGCAAAAATAAGATACCTTTATGAGAACTATCAGGAAGTAAAAGGAACGTGATAGAATATGGTGTTGCATATTCAGAATATATTAGGTACATGTAGATGCCTATGGAAAAAAGCTGCTACAACAACAACAAAATTCATAGTGGAATGGCTTGTAGTAGTGGAAATTTGGGGCCCATTCAGAACGGTCCCGTTCAACTTCTTACCCTCCAGATATTGTTGAATTGCAATTCCTGCAATACCTTTCTACTGGTGAGGACTGATGGGAATTGTAGTCTCAACATCTGAAGAACCACAAATTTGCTATTCTTGAGTTAGTTAACAAATATTCTAAATCAGATAATTTTGAACATTTTTTCTAAACTGAAATTCACCTAGTAATGTCAGGGCCCTTTTCTACTCCCCGAGTCATTTGGTATCCCTGCTGTCCTCCCCTGACTGTGTATTTGCTGATTGGGGGTACTAGAGATTACCTCCCTTTCCCCCCCCCCCCCCCGTGAAGAAGCTGTAATTCCCAGGATGCCGTAAACTGACTCTGGGTTTGGTAGATCTGTTGCACAGACTTGCCTGTAGTGCTTGCAGCCTATTGTAGTCATGGCACTGTGACCATAAACATGGATGGTCCCTCTCTATTTTTTTTCTCAGCATCAGCAGTTGCAAGCTTCTTGAGGGAGCTGATGCAAAGGGGATATGGAGCACTGCAGAAGAAAGTATTTGAACTGGTTTAGCAGCATGTCACCCGGTCTTCCTATGGGACAATTCTGGCCACAATTCTGCTTTTAATACTCACACTAGGAGATGCAATAGTTCCTTGATGTATCTTGCACTAGATTTATCATCCCTGTTAATTATGACAGAATTGGGACTACCTGAGCAGACTGTGCCTCAATGCACACAACTAATTAAATACCTAGTTTTGAAATGGGCACCTATCTAATCATTCCCCATTTTCAAAGACCTCCAAAACAAGAAAAGGAAAATAAATTCCAAGCTCAACCATAGGCCAGCCAGTTAAAACAGCAAGAGAAAGACTAGATACAATAAATGAAGTGATACTAGACAGGCAGAAAGTACTTGCTGTTTCTGAAGCATTCAGAGCATTTACTGTACAACTAAACTACGCATGAAGTATGTATGAACATGAATGAACAGCTAGTATCACTGCTGGCCCCTTTGATTTAGCTGTTCTGGTATCTGCCGTTTGTTAACTTGTTGTCAAGTAACCTCTAGCTCAGTGGTTCTTAACGTGGGCAATAATGCCCCCCAGGGGGCGATTTCATTTTTCAGGGGGGCGGTAGAACGAAAAGGGGCGGTGTGGGGGCGAAAGAACAGAAGGGGGGCGGTAGGGGGCGCTGGAGTGAGCCAAACCTGTGAAGGCGACGTAGGTAGGTAGGTAGGTAGGTAGGTAGGTAGGTAGGTAGGTAGGTAGGTAGGTAGGTAGGTAGGTAGGTAGGTAGGTAGGTAGGTAGGTAGGTAGGTAGGTAGGTAGGTAGGTAGGTAGGTAGGTAGGTAGGTAGGTAGGTAGGTAGGTAGGTAGGTAGGTAGGTAGGTAGGTAGGTAGGTAGGTAGGTAGGTAGGTAGGTAGGTAGGTAGGTAGGTAGGTAGGTAGGTAGGTAGGTAGGTAGGTAGGTAGGTAGGTAGGTAGGTGGGTGGGTAAGATGTCATCACCTCAGGGAGGGGGGCGATGATAACTTCCTCAATGGCTCAAGGGGGCGTTTCTTTCAAAAAGGTTAAGAACCACTGCTCTAGCTCATGACCCTATCAAGGAGTGACCTCCAAAATGTCCCATCATTAACAGCCCTCCTGAGCTCTTGCAAACTCAAGGCTCTGGCTTGCTTTATGGAGTTAATCCACCTTGTATTGTCTTATATTCTGAACTTATAGGCTTAACTGGCAGTTTTTTTACACCCAAGGCATTGGTTAAGCTTGGGTCATGTGTGATTGGCATGTGCAGGGAGAGGAAAAAGGAGTGATGAAAAACACTTTGGTCTGATTGCACAGTGGCCACACTGGTTCCACTCTCTTCTGTGTGGCTTTCCGTCTGCGGAACAATAGCTGGAGAAAGCATATACAGTGGTGCCTCGATTTACAAACGTCCCTACTTACGAACATTTCGTCTTACTACGAGCTCCGGCTGCAAAATTTTGCTTCGACTTGCGGCCGAAGCTTCCAGTTACAAACAGCTGTAATGGTGAAATGTGATAGGTTGTTCTGGGTATAAATGTAACAGAGACAGAGCGACCTTTGCCACTTAGCTGTGAGTCTAGTGGTCATTTTGTTTCTATGTCATTATTGCTCTGAATGTTGTTATGCCAAATGCACATTGCTTTGTATTTATGTATATATGTATAGCCATATCTAATATACTATATTGTAAATACTAATAACTCATGTCATTTTCTCCCATCTAAGTCTCTTACTTTGCTATTTAAGTGGGAAGAATGGAAGCAGTTTGACAAGAGGCTCTGCATAACTAGTGTCCTTAATCTCAAGGCTTGTCATTCATAACAGAGTGTTTTTGCCAAGCTTTCCATTCAACCTGACTCTAAGAGTTTTCTTGAGGCCAGGCCTCATTTAGACTCTGCGGTTTTGGCCCCACACCAACAGAAAATCCATACAGCTTGTCCTTGTTAAATGCCTGGTTTTTTTACTGTGATATTGACAAACACTCCCTACAATATTCATTATGCAGAGTGCTATCAATGTGCTGATGACACTCAGCTCTACTTCTCCTTATCAGGGTTAGCTGAGTGGGCAGGTGCTAGACAAAAGTCTAGAAGCTGAAATGAGCTGGATGAGGGCCAGTAAACTGAAACTGAATCCCCACAAGGCAGAAGCACTGTTGTCAGATGGTTTCCAGGCCTGGCAATTGGGCAGGAGACCTGTTCTTGATGGGAGTTGTGCTCCCCCTGAAAGAGCAGGTGCATTGTTTGGAGCTACTCCTTTTTTGGGGTTTCGGGGTTTTTTTGGTCATTTGAGGCTTATGTAAGCTCAGTGACTTGGAGTACCTGGATTCAACTTTGACTGGTCCACCAGATACAACCATTCCTGAACAGGGATAACCTGGCCACAGAAGTCCATGCCCTGGTAGCTCCTGGTTAGACTACTGCAATGCATTCTACATGGGGCTATTCTTGAAGATCACAGATGCTGCAGTAAATGCAGTATGTAGTAGCTAGAGTGGTAGCAGGAACATCTTTCAGAATGCACGTAACACCAGTTCTGAAGGATTTGCAATATGCTTTTGATCAAGGTGTGGACAATGAGTTATATAGCTCTAAATGGCTTGTGAACTGGATATCTAAGGCCTTTCCTTCAGTTAGAGTGGTCCGGTGGGCCAGATAGGTGGGGTATAAATTAAATAAATAAATAAATA